GAGTGGCGAATATAGACGAGCTTTGCAGATATGCATCAGAACTATCAGTAATGAGCATAATTCTTATAATTATTAGAATTATAATCCTTGCTTAAATTGAGCTGAACACTTTTCAACTTTGATTTGTTAATGCAATTTCCGGCAGCAACATCAAAAAACCACAGGAAATTTAGCCTGCTTTAAATTTGCGCATTTTGTTGCCAATTAGCTGTGCAGCGAGTTTAATTAGTGCAACAACAAGCCACAAATTTCGTTGGTCCTACGATAGTTTATAGCGCATTTCATTTGTGCGTGGCAGTTCCTAATTTGCATTTTAAGCTAGTTTTGTGCATATCGGAACTGCAATTGCCGCACATGAGTCACGCCAGACATCTAATCCCTGCCATAATACATGTGAGCTCGGCCAATCATTTTATCGAAATTCGTTTTGAACAATAAATCTGTAATTATATTATTGTACATTTAATCAGGCTCATCAGATCTCATTGCAAATATAAATTTAGATGTCGCCTGGTTATTTGGCTTATATGTTTTGCTAGCTGTTGGAAAATGTGGGATCCATTTATGCATTTGCTGTCCAATCCTCTCACACGCAGTCATGAGTGTATTGAAATTTGCCCGGCGCACAAAAGTAGGCAACATAAAATGATGCCATGTTAATTTGATTTACAATGTAGTCGCCATGGTCGTATTAGTTCAGTTTATTACTCTGAATATCGATCTAGCATGCAGCTTTAATAAATCATTACATGATTTTGAGCCTTAAGGCATTTGGAATTCAGACTTCTGTAGAGTTATAAGAAAGTTTTGCATGCGATTTTATAACAGCTGTGACACATATGGTTTTAATTGTTGCAAAGGTAATTAGGAAGTTATTTTGCGATTTTGGAAACTTTCAAAAAGTGTTAATTTTGTTACCTATAATACACACATGGGCTCTTAATGGACTGTAAATATTTATAATTTCTATTTTTCCATTCGACTGTGCGTTCGGTTTAGTAGTTGAAATTTATCGCTAAGCAACATACAATGTGGGCTCCACGTGTGCTCCTGATGCTAGCCACAGGAGAGCTTCACTAGAGGGAAACTGTGAGCCGATTTACAAACTTAGAGTGCCAGATGTTGGATCCCTCGTATACTACCTATCAGCAAATGTGCTCGAAAAATAGTTGGTCGTGTCCTTGAATGTATATGCGAAACTGAATCAAGGACCAATTAAAAACGGCAAGGTACGTTGCAATTGGCAGTTATGAGTTAATAGTTGATTGATTCTAGGTAAATCTCAGTTTTTGCCGAAAATACAGCGGGTTTCGTTCATTTATGTTCAATAACACCTTTGACTTCTGCAGATTCACGGAAAAACCTAGCTGCAAATTGTCATTTGAAAAAATATTTTTTTAAATCCCTAGCGTCTACGTCTAACATGAATCGCTCGTGTCCCTATGATGTGAGTTAAAGCTGAATGAGATTCGAATACATTTGCTATTCAAATACTTGATTTTATAGCGACATGATATCCAAGGAGGAGTACCACAGGTGTTTGCCTTTGCCATCGGGTCAGTATAAAATACAAATTATGGCAGGCACTAACAACAAGTGGAAAACAAATGTCAACGTCCATTTGTTACACAACGAAGATTAATTAAAAAATTGATAAACACTTGAATTTCGATCGATATGGTTCGAAACTTTTTAATAGCAGATATTTGATGAATTTCGGGAGTCATTCCAGTTAAACGATTTTAATAATAATATTTAAATGTTGCTCTACGCTTTCTACCTATCAATCGGTTAAAGTGGGTAACATCAAGTTGTGCAATAACCTGGAGTTGCTTATGCTATACATAGCTGAGGTTAACTGCGAGTGTATATAATATACATTTTTGATCTAGTCAAATTCGTGTGCCCATCAATTTAAACTATCGATTTTTAGCCCAAGAATGTCGACATTAACAAAGATGGGAATATCGAATTGACTAAGTATTGTGCGTGCCTCTTTCATGTATTTAAAAATGTACGTTGTGGAGTGCAGGGTATTAACTCGTTGAGATAGCATAACACTAATTTGTTTTTAATAACGTTTCTGATTTATTGATTCTATGAATTTGAATATTTTTTACATGGGCGGTTTGGTCAGTCGTCATTGCGTGTCGCCACTCGCCAAAACGATGTGGGTTACATTTACGCTCCTCTTCCTGGCCACAGAAGGGCTCGCGGCCAGTGTCACCCGCTTCACAAACATAGAGTGCAAGATGTTGGTGCCGGCTTATGCCACCTATCAGCAATGCGATCTCAAAATACTTGGCCGTGGAGTCGTGGGCTTGAATGTGCATGCAAAGTTGAATCAAGGACCGTTTAACAACGCGAAGGTATGTGTTGTTACGATTCTTGATGGAATGAGCTAATCTTCTATGCTTAAGGTTAATCTCAGCTTTTGGCGCAAGTACAGTGGGTATCGTCCATATATCTTTAATACAACCTTTGACTTTTGCAAATTCATGGAAAAAACTAGTAGAAAATTGTCCTTTGAAAAAATATTTTTAGATGCGCTAATCGAGAATTCGAATATAAATCACACGTGCCCGTATAAAGTAAGTCAAGTTTTTCATTGATTAATTGATTGATTGACATTAATTTAGTGTATATATTATATATTATATTTCAGGATGCCTTAATTGTGAACAACTTGGTATTCAAATCCGAGTTTGTCAGGTTTCTCCCATTGCCAACCGGACAGTATAAGATACAGTTAATGGCGGCAACCAACAAGGAGTGGAAAACGGTTGTCAGTGTACATTTTGCACACACAGAAGATTTAATAAATAGTTAATGTGTTAGAGTTAAAGTTTTGACTGTACACTGACTACTTGGTATGCTATGAGATACCCTGTACGTGGTTACAACAATTTTAGCTTTGAGAAATTAATTCTCGTTCTTAATTTAACCGATTCTCATATTTTTATTATAAGGTATTCAAATGTGTACCAAAGTACAGACTTTACAATTTAGAGAACGTTTATTTTAAACTTTGGTGAAGGGTATTGAGCAAACTTGTGGTTTTTAATTCTAAAATATATAAATTGGATATCGATATTTATCGACTTTATAAACTTGGTCTGCAGAGTTTAAAAACAACTGCACATAACTTTATCAAAACAACACGAGTTATATCTTTATCAAAGCGTAACGCGATTCGCGACAAAACTGGAGTTAATTAGATGAGCTAATGATCCGCATTAAATTGATTTTGTAATATTTATCTGATTCAACCACAGACATTATTATATAGGGCACATTTTAAGAGATTCTAATGTGGTGTTTAAGCAATGCAGGCTTAATTTGAGGTGGCGATAAGTTTGGATATATATATTATGAAATGCATCAGGTTGTCACCATCAAGCTGAAAGCATGTTACCAAAACTCAAGACAGAATATGTATGTACAAAGGAATTCTAGATACACTTTTGTAATTAAGCAGAGAAAACGAATTGAAATCACAAGTGTCCCTTTGATGTGATCTCTAACTCTTGACATGGAAAGAATATTTGAACTTAATCTTCTGTAGATATCAGCATGATATAAATGTAAGTTACATTCTCATTAGGGACGCATATTTGGGCCAATGATAAAGACTTCCGGGCCAGCTTTTAATAATAGTGAGCAACATTTGGAAAGCAATTGTCAATGCACATTTATCCCACTTAGAAGATTTATGTGGTCTTTAAATTTGTAAAATTTGTGTTTTCAAACACAAGCTTGTTATTCAACAGGCATATGAATAAAACGATGCAAGTAAATAGTTATAAGAATTTCAAATATGAGTCAGCATGACATTAATCTCGTTCAAGCATTGTTGTGGCAGTTCAATGTGAATGTTTGTTTGTTATTTAATGAAGATTTTCATAAATAGCTAACATGGTAGAACAAAAGTTGCCGAAAATCGATAAATGTTCGGCAGAAATTCGTATAAGAGGCGTACGGCCTGGTGCAGGTCCTTGGGCCGCATTTAATTCGATTTGCTGGCAACAAGCCTTTTGTGTGCGTCATGACAAAGCTGCACTTTGCTGCAGGGCCGATGAAATTGAATTTCCCCTTGGGGCCAGAGCACAATAAAATGCGTTTAAAGTGCCAATTGGCGCATCGATTTGCCATAAACGCCCATAAATGCCCATCAATGCCATCAGCTTTGGTGTGTGGCAGCTAGTCAGCTCTCTAAGGCTGATGCCATAAAATACGCGTTAAATTGCAATAACCAGCAAATCCAACCAACTTTTCCTGTCCGCTCGCATCAACATTTTAAAAGATAAAACGATGCTCTGACAACGTAAACGTCAATTATCCGGGTCCTTGCTGGCTGTCTGTCTGGTTTGCGCCAACCGATGATTGAATGAGCCTGGCCTCCAAAAAAAAAAAAAAATGTGAAAACAAACGAAAAAACAAAAAAACTAAACCAACAAAACGGTTCGACAACATTTAAGCCTTGTCAACAGCAGCCGTAACTGTATCGGTTGACACTTTGAAACTAATCCTCTTGCAAAATGTTTGATTTATGTCAACTTTATCGACTGGACACCCTAAGCTGGCCCACAATTCCAGGGCGTGTGCCATTTTGCCACAAATTCGTCATATTTTCGACTACAAGGCTGCCACTAAGAAACGGTTTGAATTCCCAATACCATTCTGTTATTTAGCCCAGCAAGCAAATCAATACAACACGTAAAAATTAAATTTGGTTTACTCTGAATAAAAAATATAAATAGTTGGATTGTTTGTGCTAGTTAATAAATGAAATTTTGCTAATATTGAAAATTTAATATCAAAGCAAATAACGAACGATTGAAAAAATGTGAAACGTTATTGAAAATCTATAAAGCAGGGGATTAGCCAACAAATTGAAGCGTACATTCAAAATGAGTGGCATTTATGATGCGGGGAAGTTTAAATATTGCCAATTTCTAACAATAAATCGCATTTATAATTCATGTGCTAATTGCATGTAATTAATTGTTAAAATACTTTTTCATGCGGTAAACAATTAACTCACACAAGAAGACTACAAATGCCAGGCACAAGGCCCATGCCCAGCCCAGCCAGACCCAGAACAAGTCGCCCACCTTGAAGTCGTAAAATGGCACATACGGATACGGATCCTTGCCACTGATCTCGCCAAGTGCGATTAGCTCGCCCAAGGACGGTTTCTTCCAGTGCAAGAGGAGCCCGGTATCGTGCACTCGAAACATGAGCTCTTCCAGTGGCTCCGCAAAGATGGAGTTCGCCTGCAAGGGCACGGAGGCGAGAATCTTGTAGCGAAAGATCAGGCCAGGCTGAAAGCATAGCACAGGCCTTTGAAATAGATTCTGCTGCTCTTTGATAATCTGCCATTCGGTGGATGTCATAGAGAATGCTTTCGATTTGTTCATACTTTTGCGCTCCTTATAAAAGAGGTTTGTCTGTAGAAATGTGATCTTTGATCTGATGATATCGATGGGAGTGCCCACATCCATCATGTTCACATAGAAGTGTTCACCCTCGGTAAAGTGAATGCTCAGATGAGAGTCTCGCAGCTCCTCAAAAGTGGTAACCATCCGTTCCATTGGTCGCTTGGTCAGCAGCGTCTTCAAATGGGCTGCAAACAGTGTGCTAAAAATCAGGCCCAGCAGGAACAGCTGGGCGTGAGCCAGTCGTCCGCTGTTCGTGGCATGTGCGTACAGCTTGCACGGCTGCCCAATAATGCCCGAGATCATGCGCTCATTGAACACCAGATTGGTCCAATCCACCTGCTGTTGCATCAGCAGCCAACCAAAGCAAGTGTCCAGCAGCGCAAAGACACAGTAGCTGCCGAGTAGCACAACCAGCATGTTCCAGCTGCACACTATTTGGTATACCTCGGCCGTGTGCACACGCGCAAACTCCTGCATCAGCTTGGCCACAAAGCCCGTCATGCGCAGCTCACCTGTCTTCCGATCCCGATAGCCCAACGAACGCGGCGACACCTGATCGGGCAGCGTGCGTGCCGTCAGCCCATGGTAGTTATATTGCCTGGCAAAGATAGGGCTGCTGTTCGGCTGTAGCTGTAGCCAGTGCTCCTTCGCATATGGCTGCAGTTGATAGGCGTTGCCTGTGCCCAGCTGCAGCAGCACCACATGAGGAAAATGCAGCTGCCGCGCAGTGTTGGCCAGCGCCCGGAGCTGTTGTACCGTTGCGTGCTGCAGCAAGAGGAGCAGCCGCGCATGCCGCATGTTGTACAGATTGTTGGCCAGTGCCTGCCACAATGCCAGATCCATCTTCACATCGCTAGTCAGGCATATTAGTGCCAACATTTCCGTGCTCTGGCTGCTTTTGAGATAAAAGTTCGCCTCGCTGCTAAAGCGCAAAACTGGCCACGTGGCGGCAGCCGCCACTTGCTCCATTTGGCTGCAGGGCAGCTGGCGGCTGTGCCTGAGCAACAAAAGCGTCTCGCAATGCTGCTCCTGGTGGCTGCGTTTCAGCAGCTCGTTTACCGTTAAAGCCAGATTGCCTGTACTGCCCAGCAGCAGGAGAGTTGGAACCACGGCTGGCCACATGTTGCGGCAGTCTGTTTGCCGCTTGGCTGCAGCTCTGGGGACCCGTGGCTTATCTCTCGGATCGAGGTTAATTAGCGGCCGTTAGAAATGTTTGGAAGTGCGGCTAATGGTCAAACAACGAATTCACAGTGCCACACATTAAAAAACTCTTAGCTTTAATGAAGCTATTTAAAGCCATTTAATTTATGATTGTGGTGAATGGATATGAAAGCCCTGACAGGGCTAGACCACAATAATTAAGAATATTGCAGTCGGGTGCATCCGACTATATCATACTCATTGACAAACCAAGAGCAGGGTAAAATGGGCTGCCTAAATTGGGCAAATCTGTCGAACACTGGAACAGGATTTGCCAAGCCCTCAGTGGAAATAGCCATATAATCTTATTAACTTATCGCATTCGCTCTTTTAAATATGCTAAATTTAACAAAATAGTTGCTGCAATTGCCTAGCCTATTATTTATTATGCCCAAAACTGTGAAATTGTTAAATCCTCTTATGGAATGCACTTCGTTTGCTTTGCTAAATGGCTTAGAAGAGCTTAAATGCTTGAAAGTCGTTTATTAAGCAACAATTGAGGCTTGCTTTTTGCTTGCATAAGTCTAGAGCTTAATCTGCGGCCAATTGGCTTTTTAATCATATCTCAAGTCGCATTTGAGAAAAACTTTATGCATATTTTAAGCTGTTAATCTGTGTTACATATTTAATTGCTCTCATGAAATATCAAAGTTTTTACTTGGCTGTATTCAGATCCTTCCATGGGGAACGCAACGTAAAGCAGTGCAAAACTTTTCAACAACTTTATGGCCCTTGCGTCGACTCTTGAAATTTTCTACGTTAGCACTTGGTTTTCTTCAATTTTTTGTGTTTAATTTAACGTTTTCCTCTTTCGCAGCTCTTTCAATTAGATAAGTAAATTCTAAGGGCAATGCAAGCAAAACATATATAATCATGCCAGTATTCATGCCCGTGCTCATACGCATACCTACACACACACACACACACACACACACTTGTATTCATTACTTTTCATACTTTAATGCCATTTGAAGAGACTCACGCATTAATTTACACGTCAGTGCATATTTGATTTTATTTTATTTTATTCACATTCACAGTCGTCAGGGGAAATGCACGTAGAGCAGTTGCTCGACATAAGCTCGAATTCAACGAGTGCAGTTTGGGGCATGATCAGCCAGTGAGTGTCAGTGTGACAGTTTAAAGTTTATCAAATTAAAAGACCTGCTAAGCGAAGAATACTATTCAAAGAGAAGCAAGGTGAACTTCTAGCTGCGCTGAGAGTAAAAGAAAGCTGAACCTTTTTTATCGTCCCACTATGCGATTCTCATGAATTCAAGTAGGTCTTACATGTTATATTGCTTTGATTACTTGGATGACATTTAAAGGTTTTGCAGCAAAGAAGGCTGTGTAATAGTTTAAGACCATCCCAAGAGATAGGGTATTTCTGAGTGTGCTATCTGAACTTTTTTCTTTGCTTACTTGTTGTGTTTGCATTTACATAGGACTTGCTGCTGTTGGTGCCAGCTCCCAACAGCTGAATGCTGCGCACCGCGTTGACATGCATAAAATTGCAAAGAATTGTTGCGAGCATAATTTATGCCAAGGCACGACAACAAAGAGGACTACGTCTGGTTGCCTGCCTTTGCCGCGACTGCTGTGCACCGAGGCGTATGCGTAATGTAACATTAATTGTATTTATTTGCTTTGTTGATTGATTTTACCAGCGACATGAAGCCCTGAAGCCTGAGAGCGTACATTTTAATTTGGACCGGCTCTTAAGACGAACCTTCCTGCCATTTGCTAGACAATTGCGTTTATCAAAGTCATTTTGTGTGTCATTTGAGCATTGCCCCAGGGCCACGCCCACATAAATTAACGTAAATTTAACGAAGCATGGATAAAATAACAGCAGCAGCCACAAAGGCAAAGGCTGACAATAAATTTATTGGTTTTTATCAGCTGCTGCCTGCTGTCCGACTGTGCTTATCAAATATGCCGAGTGCTGAGCTCAGCTGGGCTTTAATGCGATACATGTGCATTTAAAGTTCCTGTCGAGCCAGTTTCATGTATCTATAATATAAATATATAAACATATTTATGACTTACTGACTGATTGACTGACTGATTGGCTGACTGATTGATTGCTGATCAACGCTCGAAAAAGTTTGCATAAATATGTTCGGCCGATCAACCGATCTGCTAACAACATATTAACAAATCTTTTTGTGAACAGTCAGAGGAGATTCTCGACGAAATTGTTTTCTAAAAAGGACTTCGACCGGGCAAGGACGGGCACTATTCGCATGGACTAGAGCAGGGCTTACAGGGTTGCGTGTTTTGATTAAAAGACTTTCATGAATAGGTTATGATATATATAATTTCAGCATGTATCTACTGTGTGTGTGCTTGTGTAAAAGTGTGTACGTGTGTGTGCATGCCATAAGATAATTTAGCCGAGGACGCGTTTTATATTCTAGTATATCCCATTAAGAATAACCATTCATTTATATTGACAAATGATTTTTGCAGCATGCTTTTAGGCGCAGTCGTGTCTGCTAAAAAGTACGAGCCAGGCTATTAATTGATTTGACTGGGGCTTTAAAGCTTTAACAGCTGATTTGAGGCTTAACGCCTGGCATTTGGCACGCCCTTATACACACGTGTACGCCCACCCACACACACATACACACACATACACACACAGCCGCATACACACGCAGGACAATCGACAAAGTTTGCCCGAGGTAAGCAAGAAAAAAGTTTGCCAGCCACTTGGCAAGTTACAACATCGATGGGCTGTTGGCACTGCTAAGTGAGGATCCTAAAGGACTCTTTCAGCTGCTGCTGCTGCTTTCCTTTTTGACAATGTGTTGGGTAAAAATGACAAAGCACGGAAGTTTTCTTAAGGGCACGCACTCTCGTTAGATGCCATGATTGAACGCATTTTGAGACACGCATTCCAGCTTGGATTTTAAAGCCGGATTCGTATGTATATTTAACTTAATTTTGTTTTCAGGCCAAAAAACTTTTGATTTAAGCTGTTAAACTGTTTGCCAATACGATTCGGGCTTTTTCCCAGGCGCCGGCGCTTTTAATTAAAAAAGTGACCTGCCCCAAAAAAAAAAAAAGTTGCTAACAGGATTTTCGCACGTTGCCAACAACGCGACAGCCAGTTGAAGTTTTTCACTTTGGTTTTTAATTTTGCTGAAAGTGTTCTACGCTGTCTCTGGCTGTTCTTTTTGTCATTACTGCCAGCAGCCAGTGTAGTTAAAGTTTAACAAATATTTGAGTTCCATTCGAATTTTTGTCAATTAAGTTCGGAGTATGCGGATATATATACAAAACACTTACCCCTAATGCAGCAGATCTCGTTGTTGCCAGCGTATCCTTTTTGTCATCCCTTTTTTTTTTGCGGTTGCCTCTTGTTGGCATTCCATTGATGGTGGCCGCAAAGCTTTTGCAGATGCCTCATGAATACTATTTGCACACACTTGCCACACCTCTGAAAGTATAGACAACGTTGAATATTTGTGAATATCTTGCGAGTGAGTTGTCAGTACTTACGCAAATAAGCCAGAGTGAATATGTGTGTGTGTGTGTGTGTGTGCATTTGTGATTGTGGCATCTGTAACGCCGTCAAATATTTTGTAATTTCGCTTATGTCAGGAATTTCGGTGGGGTGAAGAAATGTGCCTGAAATATGCAAAGAAGACCTTAAGTCAGCGTTGATTTGGGTAAGCCACGAAGAGAACTAGGTATATTTATTAGATTTTCAGAGATTTTGCGAAATAATCCAAGTCTGAGATACCTGAGCTAGAAATGCTGAATATTTAGAGTATTGTAAAAAAGTCAATTTATAATTTTATCAAGCTTGTGTGCCATTTAAACAGAAAGAAATTATAAGATCATATTAAAAAAGAAGTACTGATAATATTTGTATAATTATTTGTCTAATTTATGAAACGCATTACTATCTTAATTATAATGTCTAGACTGAGAGCAAACGTGTTTAATAAGCAAATTGTTTAAACAAACTTTTGACGCTCAGTTGTTTAAAGACAATGCTTGAAAGACCGTAACAAGTCTTGAGTCTTCGGCTAAGAGCACGGGCAGGTGCAAACAACGCTCAGCGCGCCAAGTGCTGCGGCTGGAAAATCAAAACAGAGAAACGCCGCAGCGTTTGGGCCAAGCGCCAAGCACGTGTATTTGCCCGACGCTGATTGGCCAGCGGCTTTCGCTTTTCGCCCAGCACAGCGTGCTAGCTCTCTCTCGCGCTCTCTTAGAGTGACTAAGAGAGCGTGCACGCTGTAAGCAAAACTGGTTTGCGACACCCTGTACGCATGCTGCTTGGGCAACACGACAGCGCGTCGGCACGAAACATTCCAGTTGTTGTTCGGCGTTCATTGTGTGCAGGTCAGGCGTATACGTAACGCATCACGCCTAACGGTTTACGGGCAGCGTGAATTCGTACCGCGTCGTTGCGCGTCCCATTCAAAAAAAAAAAAAAAAAACCAAAATAAAAAAACGAAAACCAAAATTGGCAAATTTTTGCATACCGGTTCCCACAAAACAAGCTGTTAAAATTTTAATCCTAACCAAGCCAAAATAAACACTTCCTGCAAAGTCTTCAACAAGAGCAGAAAAAAACGTAAGGCGACGGCTTGCCAAAGCAATAAGTATCTAAGTATCTACGTATCTGTAACTGTATCTAAGCATAATTGCAACTAAGTAGCTGTGTCTTGTGTGTTTTACGTGGACCTTCGTGCTGCTGGATTTTGGCATTTGTCGCCAATTCGCAAATAGTTCGTGTCGAAAGTTCATTTCTCAGAATCTAACAGCCAGACATTTCCGTTTCACACGCCCCGGCGCAACAGTTAACAACAGTCACATAATTTGTATGCACACACCTAAAATACTGGCGAAATTTATTAAATATTCATAAAACTTGCCGTCGCTTAGCAAACAAAACAAAACAGAACTGCCGAGAAAGAAAAAAAAAAAAAACAATATTAAAAGAAGAGGCCACAAACATAGCAACAAGTCGGCGCCATTTGGTCAACGTTGCCAACGCTCTATGTATTTATTAGCATTCAGTTAAGAGTGGAATAAAAAAAACGAAGAAGAAAAATAAAAACACAGCGCGTCGTTGGCTTCCCAGAATTGGCAGTTAATTTTTGAAAAAAGAACCAACCAAAAAATAACCGCAAAGCCCAAAAGGAGACACGGCAACAGCTGAAAGCGTGTAATCCGAGTGGCTGCGACTCATCAGTGCGTGTGCGTGTGTGTGTGCGTGTGTGAAACTATATAGACCTAAAGCCTGGCACAGGCTGGCAAAAGGTATGTAAAATATGACCACAACAACAGCTCAAACAACCCACGCGAATTGCGCATAGAAATTGAAAGTTCCGCATAATTTCCAGCTGAACAAAAAAAAAAAGAAACTGAAAAAAACTGATTACGCGACGCGTTCTAGATACTTTTTGCCATGCACACTGCAGATACTTGGCTGCAGATACAATCGCGTCGCATTGTATATTGTGTATAAGCAAATTGTGGCGATTCGTGTGCCAAAAAAAACGACAGCAGCCGTTGCTGGTCAGCATTGTGTTTATTATTTTTATAAAATATGACAGCAAACAGGGGCAACAACAACAAGTTCGAATTGGGTCTCGCAGTTGCTCGTGCAACAATAATGCATCTGCAAGATACAGATACAAATACAGATACAACGAAAGCAGACGCAGCTACTTAGCTGCAGAGCCCATGGTCTGGAGCTAATATAATCAACGCTAAAGCTCGGTGCAATGACAAAATTGCTGATAACTGGCCAATCGAGCATCCATACCAATCATTAATTTTATTTTAGTTTCTGCTTTGTGTTCGGCATTTAATGGTGTTTCATTTATTAAGACTTCTGTTTGAGCGCAGCAGCTGGAAAATCTTAGACGCTCACGTTTTATGCTAAATACTTAGCTTAGCTTAACTGGGCTCAACTGAACTGAACCTTCAAGGTTAGTTCTAACGATTTGTATCTTGTAGATACTTTTCATTTTAGCCGCTCGCAGCTCTATTACCAAACTCGCATTTATTGGGGAAAATATTTCAGAAATATTTTTGGTACGGCAAAAAGTCAAAACTGGCGGCTAAAACTTTTATTTAGCAATCGCTTTTTTTGTGTTGTTTCACAAAAGATTTATGTTTGTGTGTGGTATTAGCCCAAAGTATTTTATATAGGTACAAGTATAGACATTCTCTCTATTCTCTCTCTCTCTCTCTCTCTCTCTCTCTCACCTATGTATTTGCCTGCTTCGAGGGGGGCGGCGTCGGTTGCTTTAGAATGCTGCTCAGTTTGGCGCTATTTATAGGCGCGTAACACATACGCGCATAGCATGTATCTTATAGATACATTCTGGCTGACTGCCTGCCTGCCTGCCAGGCAGGCAAAAACTTTTGCATCGACCTGCCTGCCACTGACTGGCTGTTGTTGTTGTTGTTGTTGTTTCTGTTTGCCCGTCTGGGCTGTCTGCCTCATAAATATAAAGCCGCAGCGACATTGGCGAGACAATGCGCCAAATGGCCGTCTGCAGCGTTCGCAGATCGCCACAAAGGAATCCGGCCAAAAAAGGTTCTCTCTCGCTCTCTCTCTCTCTCTTTCAGTCACTGCCTCTATCTCCAGATCTTGACAACACTTGGCAACTGACTCTGCAACATGTTGCCTGTGCCGTTGCCTGTTAGCTTTTTGCTTTGAAATCGAAAACAAGATTGATGCCAGACGCAGCCAGGCAGATGCTTGAGGGATGAACTGCTGGGGAAGGGGTGGGGGGCGGGATCGGGGAAGGGGCGGTAGTCAACGCAGCTGGCACAGCTGGCTAGATTCACAGATTATGGCCATCATAGAGCATAATTGCTGTTTATGTGTTTATTTGGCAGTTAAAAACAAAAGATACAACAACAACAGCAATCGATGCTCAGCTATTTGGCTTTTAAGTTTTCCGCATTATCCGAAATATTTTCAAAAGCAAAAATGTGCGCAATTTTTGAAAAAGAAAATAAAAAGCAGCTAAATAAACCCTGAGCTCCAAGTTGGCGACCAGTTTCGATTTTTCTTTTATTTTCTTTAGTTTTTTACAACTTGCATAATACGATCGACTGCGGCCGCACCACAAGCGGCATGCAGCTTGTGGCAAGTGGCAAGTGCACGCGGCAAGGCGCAGAAATGTTTTCAGTTTCGCAGCTGACAAAAGCTCGGGACCGTCGATTCGCTTGATTGCTGGCTACGTAATTACAAGAAATCAAATATCAAAATGCAAAAAAAAAACTTGAAAAACTGCTAAATACAAATTGCAGCTGACTGCAGCTGGGGCGTGGACAGGGGCAGGGGTCGGGGTAGGGGAGCGAGCAATGCAGTGCAGCAAGAACCGGAAAGGAAGTGAGCGTGTAAGTTACCAAGACTTTGACTTCGTCTTCGACTGGGACTCCAACAAGCCGAAAACCGGTTACAGCCCCCACCCCCCACCGACTATTGCGACTGAATGCTTCTTGGAAGCACATCGTCAGCTCTCTGCCAAGTCATTCACTTGCAGGCGATACGAGTTTTTCCATTGTGTTTCTTCTTGCAGTTGTTGTTGTTGTTGTTGTTGTTGCTGTCGCTGCAGTGCGCAGGCGCAGCTTTGTTGATAGTGCGGGCGAAGAACGAAGCGAAACAAAACGAGACACGAAACGAAACGAAACGGTACGATACGAAATAAAATAAAACGAAACATAGCGAAGCACGAGACAAAGCGCAATACGTAACTGATAGTTGGCTGGGAGGCAGACGCAGAAGATAGGCGGACATTCAAGAACAGAAGTGAACAGCATGGTCTACACTCAGAGAAATTGAGTGCCCACAAAAAAGAAATAAGAGTTATTTGTTAAATCAGAAGATTCCTTCAATGAAGATATTAACTAATTCCTGCACAGCCCCATCTCACTTCACTAAAAGACTTATTAATTATTTTTCAACTATTAACCAAGTCTTCACTTTATTAACTCAAACGTATTTTAACCCATAAACTTTTGCGTGTGTAGACTGCGAAGTGCGTAGCTAAGAAGTGACTTAAGAAAGTTCTGAGCATGTTGAGCAAAGGGAAGCTACGATTGGGTTGGGTAATGCATACCGTTTGTTACCTCGCTTCGCCGCCCGCCTTGCCCCCATCCCCCTCTCCCCACCCCCTACCTTCTGACAACTGCGGGTGCAATGTGAGGCACTTTTCTAGCAATATGCTTTTAGTATGCCTCGCAACGCATGCGCCGAGTGCTTTGGCCCAGCTCGTGTCTTGCTGGAGGTACTTGAACCCTAGTACGGACACAAAATGGCGGTGCAGCAGCTACCTTTAGGAGCACCACTTATGCATGATATATGAAGGTGGGCGAAGGCAGGCATTGAACTTTGTTACAAGGTTTGTGGGAACACTAGACAAAACGCTTTTACCAAAGTCTTTTGGCTCAA